CCTGGCTGGACCCAGGCACTCACCTCTGGTCCAGAAGGGAAGTCGTCAGGGGCAGGCTCGGTGTCTTTTTTTTAATGGTTGCTTCCTTTTAAGCCACAGCTGTCTGAATCAGCCACTGCAACTCCGCTGTTACCAGCAGCAGTTAGGCCGCAAAACACTCTTTCAAATCTATGCAGCAAACTTAACTAAATCTCTGCCCCTTTAAAGAACTCATGATTCAAAGGTTAAGGTGGAATTCTGCTCTTCAGAGAGGCTGAATAGCAAGTAGCTCACCTCCTCTCCTTGCTCGCATCCTCCAAAAAGCCCCTGTTTTGTTTTCTAAGGGGTTTTATTTTGTTTTCTTGGTTTGGGGAATTTTATATTGGGTTTTTATTTGTTTTTGGGGGTTTTTTTGAGAAAGAACTTTGAGTTAGGTGGGTAGGGAAAGGAGAGGGTCTGGAAGGACTTGAGGGAGGGGAAAATACGTTCAAAATATATTTAAATTTAAAAATTGTTTTAAATAATAAAAAGTAAAATATCAAAAAGATAGTTCAAATTTTAAAATCATATAATGATGAAGGAAAAATGAGGTTCAGCATTTGAGAATAAGGAACATGGAATTCATTAGAATACGATGGCAGGGAATTTTTCCTGAGAAGATTTACATGACTTAAGATGTTCTGAGATGCATCAGCTCCATGAAATACTTTATCTTCTCTTGGCATTTTGGCCTCTGTCAAACCTCACACTTTTATTCAGTCTCTGTATAGCAGCTATCCATGCTCCTATGTACAGATAGTTTATAGCGTGTCTTAATATGCATGTACAGCTATGATATATCATTATTATTCACATTCATAATGTTTTTGCCTTAGATATACTTTTAACATGCCTGTGTCATATGTTATAGTGTCTCTGTAGGAACGAGAAGAAAAATTTCAAGCTAAAGATTCTAAGTCAATATCTATGGCATTAGCCTGTTAGAACACATTCTCTGTCTGCCTGTCTCTCTTCCCACTGTCTCTCTAAGTCTGCTAAACAGTTTGGGACATCACACATGTATCCAAAATATTCCTACAACATATATATATATATATATATATATATATATATATATATATATATATATATATAATGTGCACTCATACCACACACACAGCACATACACAATATACATGCATCTCACTGATATACAGACACAGGTATAGCATATATGTCATGGGCATATATTAGCATTTACATACCACACAGAGACATGCATGCATATACTCACGCATGACACATATCACATATACATACCATACTACACACACATATAGGACACACCCCATATGCATGTTCATGCTTATACATATCTCACTGCACATGTGTACATCAGGTATGTATAGCACAGACATCATGTGCCTGTAGTCAAAAATGTGGTGACTTCCCTTTGTTCCATGCTAGCAGGACAGTAATTGTTCCCACAAAAATCTTCTCACTTCTTTATGATTAACATAAACTTAATATTTGGGGTTATTTTACATCCTTATTTACATCCTTATACATATTTCTAGGAACCTCGGCCACAAATCTCAGTAAGGGCTGTTGTTTGGGTAAGTATTCCCTAAAAATCCCCATAGTCAAGGCTTGGCTGGCAGTGCAGTGCTAAGAATGTTACTAGATGGAGCTGAGGCCCTTAGGCTATTGGGACAGTTGTTGGTGAAATGATGGCCTGTTTCCTTCTTTGCTCAGTTTAATTCTTTCCTCTGTCCATCCCTGGTTCACCATGAGGTGAGCTCTTCCCTGTTACCACATGTTCCTGTCATGATGTGTGGTCCAGCAACACATCCAGCTACCCATGGGTTAGAACCTCCAAAGTTGAGCCTAAGTAACTGTTTTCTGTATGAACTATGTTAGGATCTCTATACTAATAGAATTATGGTTAACATAGTACGACATTTAGAGTCCTAGAAATGATGACTAGCTGAGTCCAAACTTCTTTAGGTTCTTTAACAAAATCTGGCTTCAGAACAGGTACCTACAAAGTACAGAGCTTCCGATGTTGGGGTTCTTCAGTCTATCGCTGAGGTCTCCCGAGGGGTATGTGAAGAAGTATTTGAAAGGGAAAGGATTAGAGTTTGCTTGAGGATTGCTGTCCTGGAGGAGTTTGTACTTTTCCACACATACTTGATTCGCTGAGCTGCTGTGTCATGTTGGTGAACATCTGGCTCTCTCTTTTCCCCCTGGACGACTCATTTCAGTCTATGAAGACACATTCACAGATGGTGATGACATACACAAATCATTTGACTGGATTCAGTAAAAAGTAAGGGAAAACAAGCTAAAATAAATCAGGCTAATTGAATTCCAGCAAGCACTTCTCTTTGTTTGTAAGTTCACAGCTGGCCTGATTGTGCGCTCTTTTATATCATCGTTATGAGTTCTGAAGACCAGAGATTAAATAATAGAATCTGAGCTTGCTCCCAAACTCTTTCCCCCACACAATGTGCTGGCCATGAAAGGAAGCTTAATTTTCATCACAGGTGACAGACTAAACACATAAATTAAGCATGCTTACCAGAGTTGATCTCCTACAGAAATCATTTGGTTTCCTCAGCTCTGGAATGTGTGTTTTATAAAATACCACAGTTTATTTCATTACTTAACAGGAAAGAAACGTAGTCACATGCCCTGACTACAGGAGGGGTTTTAGCTGTAGCCTGTTATTGACTCAGACTGCCGAGTCAGAGGTCACTAACCTGACAAAGGTTCAGGGTGAAGTTTGGCTTCTGGTCTCTGGTTTGTGGGTGAGATGAGGCTGAATGATAGAAATGAGTGGTTTCTGGCATTAACCTGGATCTGCCCATATTTCTCTCACATCTTCGTGAAGCTTTTGGGAGTTCGTGTTTTGATTTTAAGGTAAGGACAGTGTTTCTTCAGTGGTAAATGGGAAGACATACCTGGTGTGAGTCAGGGGCACAGCCTTGCCTAGATTTTAGGGGGAGAGAACTCAAGAAGCCCCTTCCCCATTGTATCTATAGAAACATTCACAGCTCAGGAGCAAAGGCAACATTCACTTTGCTTGTAGGCTTGCTCTGAGTGGGCACTGGCAAAGCAGCTCTTTCTGCTCCGATTGGCATTACCTTGGGCAGCTCTGAGTCTGGACTGATGCCCCTTGAAGGCCTTCATTCCTGTGCTTGGAAACTGACGCCAGCTGGCTGGTGCAGGCCAGTGCGCTCAGGCACAGTGATTGGTGCAGGGCATCCTCACGACATGGCAGCTGGGCTCTGAGGAGGAGAATTCTGAAGAAGGGAGGAGACCTTGGGGTCAGGGAGAAGCATGTTGCCTTTCTGTCCTAGCTTTGGAAATGATGAAGATAAACTCCCTTGGGGAATCTTTCTTAAAAGGTTGCAAATCCTGCCTAGCTTCCAGGGAAGCAGAAATGGCGGCCCCTCCTGTCGAGGACTGTCATGTTTGGATAGGGACAGATGGAACCAGAGCACTGCTGGGGCAGTTTGGGAAGATGCAGTCTTCCAGAATGTCCGAGAGGAGCATGAAGAAGGCAGATCGGAAGTGAGCACAACCAGGTCCCACGGGGCAGAAGCCAAGGTACAAAGAGGTCACTTCCATGGCTTCTGATCCAAATGTGATTCCCAGATGCACTTATTACCATTAGTAGTCAACTTCCATAGGTATTACTATTCTATGCTCTAGCATGAGCTACCCAATTCAGAGGAGTCAAAGCAGTCTGAGGACTGAATCATTTTTAATGATTTTTTCTTTTTTTTAATTAAGAAAAAAAATTTATTCATTTTACACCCCAAAGATCCCCCCTCTTCCCTCCTCCTGCCCTCCCTCCCAGCCTCCCCTCCCAACTTACCCCTCACTCCCACCCACAAGAAGGCAAGGCCTCCCATGTGGAGGCACATTCAGTAGAAGCAAGTCCAAGCCCTTCCCCCTGCCTCGAGGTTGCACGAGGTGTCCCATCATAGGTAGTGGGCTCCAAAAAGCCCGCTCACGCATCAGAGATGGATTCTGATCCTACCGCCAGGGGGCCTCCCAAGCAGATCAAGCTACACAACTGTCTCAGCATGCAGAGGGCCTAGTCCAGTCCTATGTAGGCTCCACAGCCTTTGATCCAACTTTCATGAGTTCCCTCTAGATTGGTCAAAGCGTTAAAGTCAGTGTCAAGATTGGAATTCAAACTCCCATCTTCAGATTTCAACTCTAGTGGTTTTTTTTTTTTTTTTTTCATTCTAATCACATTAAACCTGAGGAAGGAAAGTCCAAAACAAGCAAATGGTCACATTGGCTGTTTCAGTGATGGGGTAAGAGATTTACATGGGAGGAGTAAGCTGAAGATCTCAGAGTTAATTTTCCCTGCCTAAACTAGATGGGACCCTAAACTCACTTATCTATTAATTTTTAAATCCTTACTAAGTTCTTATCATCCTCCCAGATGATACAGGTAGGATTATATATGCATGATTAGTGCTTTTAAGGCTCCATCAACTCAATGAGAGGAAGAGACACAAAAAGATAACATGACGTGTCCCTCTAGAAATCATACCTACGGCCTGGGTGTGACAGCCCGCACCTCTGACCTCAGCACCCAGAGGTCAAGGAATAAAGATGGCAACTTCAAGGCCAGCCTGGACTGTGTAGAGAAGCCCGGGTTCCTCCTCCCTCCGTCCTTGGGTTGTCTTCCAGGATGCCCCCACAAGTCTTCCCTTGAGACTCACTTGGAAGATGGCGCCATTGCTTTGAGGCAGGCCGTTTACAGGGAAGCACACACACACACAAACACACACACACACACACACACACACACACACACACACACACACACACACGGAAGGTGTGCTGGCGTGGAACCAAGGGTGTGTGCTCCCTTTACTTGGGAAACCCTCAAGGCCACTTCTGTGGCTGACTGCATCATGACACCACTGTCCTTTCTTGTGTTTAGATCCCATCCTCATCCAATGTGACTCCGCCTAGGACCTGTCCTATGGCTGCTGAGGGCTGGGACCCAGTTCTGCCCTCCTTGGTGGCTGGCCTGGAACCAAATGTTGGGACCCAGTTCTTGAAAGCTGCCAAGGGGTGCTGCCTGAAGAGAACACTTGACAATTCTTATGAAGAAAATCATATTCGACACACCTATGTGAGTTTTGTGTAAGAGGGGGGAAAACCTGTCTGTAAAGGTTTCTGATTTCTGTCATGTGGGACAGGGTTGAGAGATGCCATGGAAGCAGCAACCGGCCTGACCTTGCTTTGAAAGTAATCTCCCCGCGCGGAGCTGCGGGGACCACACAGGAGAAGGCTAGTGCTTGCTGGCTGAATTCCTTCCCCGCTCCTGTTTAAAAGCTCTCGCCGTTTCTCTTTCATCTGCTCAGGGTGTCTTTTCTACATGTCAGAGAAGGAGACTGGGGCCACTACCCTCTTGTGTCTGTCATGATAACCTTGTCCCAGTGGCTCGCACCCTCTGAGCTCTGTGTTCTTGGGATTGGCTTTTGTCTCAGTTCAATGCTGGTGGTGCTTGACACCCAGGAGAAAGTGCTGAACCTTAAATTAATTATCACACATTTTCCTGTCCAGCGATAAAGACATCAAAGGCCCCCATCTAAATAAGGAAGGGATACTGAAGAGAGTATATTCTCTCTCTCTCTCTCTCTCTCTCTCTCTCTCTCTCTCTCTCTCTCTCTCTCTCTCTCTCT